CCTGGTCTTTAATTCAGCTAGGGGTATCATCCATATAGTTACATTATCCCGTAAGGGAACATAGTGGGCTTATAGATTCCAACGGTACATTGGCGCCGTCTGTGGGAAACTATAAACTTATTTTCCCATTCTCCTACCAAAGATCCGCAAGACGTATTTCACATCCCGATAATTAAAAGTGGTTGTCACGACCAGAATAGCAGAACAAGCTAGGGCCACAACCCCAGAGGGTTATGTACAAACAGTTCATCCCGACTCCCCGCCATCCATGCATTCAGCTCCAGCTGAGCGAGCCGCCGGCGAGGCCCTCCCCCCCGATCCTGCAATCTGTTGGCCCACAGTTGCAAACAGCTGGCGCTAGAGTAGAACAGTTGAATCACCGCGTAGCAATGCGTGAAATGCAAGGAGAAAATTTAGTCCCAAACCAACCCCCCCTCCGGGAGTTCACTTCAGAATGCCATTCCCTGCTGCTGCATCACAAGCCGCACCACTCGCCCATCGTCCACAACCAGACCTAAGTCAGCCAGTGGCGATGTACAATTATCATCGACTTGCCGTGATCGCCCCGTACCGCCCGGGACCTTACACTCATAATGTTGCCAACGTTGCTACAGCTTTCCCTCAACCTTACCCTGCTGGTTTCCCATTCCACGGTTACGCCATGCAACCCCTTAACGTGGACATCCCACAACCCCAAGGGTCTTACCCAAACCCTGGTCAGCCACCATATGGCGCCCACCAAGTTGTACACCAGGTCCCATCCCTCTCTTACTTTGTTGAAGCCCAACACATACCTTACCCACAACCCGACCAGCGTGCACATAACCCCAATATAAGGATAACGCCTGCTCATACGTCAGGACGCAACAAACCTTTGACTGATAGCTTGCGGTTAACCCTCATACCCCTCGGTTTCAAAGGCCCCTCTAACATCACCACTTATGTTGGTGATACCGATCCTTTTGAGTGGGTCCAAAATTTTGAAGCAGCAATGACCCTTCACGGCGAGACGAATCTCCTTATGTGCAGGACTTTCCCCACACTTCTGGGAGGGAGAGCGCTGATATGGTACATCACTCTACCAACTGGTAGTATTGCGTCCTGGGACGATTTGGCGAGCAAGTTTCAGTCTCACTTCGCAACCAGTCGCCCGGTGCCTAAGTCTGTTCACTCCCTTAAAAAGATTCGCCAACAATCTGGAGAGTCCCTTAGATCTTTTTTCCACCGCTTTGATAAAGAGGCTCTGCAAGTGCAAGGCTTGGACCCCAAGGTGCAAGTACACATACTTCTGTCAGGCTTGCGACAGGGAGCATTCGCTTACGAACTCGCTCGCCATGAAATCACTGACTTAGAAGAAGTCAGGAAAAAAGCCTAGGAGTTCATGAGAATTGAAGAGTACAAAGGGAGTCGAGTTGAGGACGCCCATAGCCAAGAGAGGACGTTCAGTAAGAGTAAGAACCAAGCTGAAGAGAGCATGAAGAGTCATAAATCGTCTAAGTATGCCAGTCGTCCTTCAGGACGTGACACATCAGGACGCCCATCACACAGCGTCCTGGAGACTGAATACAAAGAGGAGCCCAAGACCAACCAACGGCCCCAGCAGCCGACCAGAGAATCTGCCGCGTACTGCAAGATCCACCGCAGCAACAGTCATAGTACTGAGGAATGCCGACACCTTAAAGACGAGATTGATGAGCTCTTCAAGGGCGGTGCTCAAAGGCGGGGAGGAGAATGTGCACGCCCAGCCAGAACTGGAAGGCGACAACGTGAGCGTAGCAGGTCACCAGAACAAAGGAGAAACAATCAGCGTGGTTATCAACCTCGCCATGAACGAGATCGCAGAGAAGACTCCCCAGGAGACCGCAGAGTGCCAGATAACCAAAGAAATAGAGGAAGACGAGAAGGAGAGGAAGAAGATTCAGCAGTCATCAAGCACGGGGTGATAAACATGATTTCAGGATGCCTAAGCGGAGGTGGAAAAACAGTCAACGCTAGAAAGAGACATTTGAAACAGTGTGTGTCGGTTGCTGGTAATGTCATAAGTAAAGTAAAAGTAGATTCAGGTCCCGCCAAGCCTAAAATCGTGTGGGATTACAACGATTTGGGCGATGTCCTTCCTGGACATGATGACCCTCTTGTCGTTCAAGCAATAATCGCCAATTTCGACGTAAATCGCGTATTTGTTGACCATGGCAGCTCTGCTAATATCTTATTTTAGCCATGTTTCAGGTCGTTAGGATTTTCAATGAATGACTTAACCCCCGTTGTAGGTGAACTTTCAGGTTTCAACGTAACAACCACAAAGCCGCTCTGAATGATAAACCTGCGTTTGTCTTTGGGGACGCCACCCACATCAAGATAAGCTGACATCCAATTCTTGGTGCTCGACACCCAATCAGCTTATAATGTAATTCTCTGCAGAAGGATGTTCGCCGCGTTTGAAGGAAACATACCGCACCCGCACTTGGTGACGGACAACAAGGTGGCGACGGTAAAAGGCGACGAAACGGTAGCCATGAGTTGCTACAATATATCTTTGAAACCAGCACCTAAGGTCACCTTCAAAGACCAACCAACGCCTCAAGTGACAACGCCACAGGTAATAGAGGAAAATGCTAGCAGAAATAACAAAGAACTTGATCAATGTTTTCTTGTAGAATTCGGCGCTAGAGACGACCCTCGAGCGGAACATTCCAGGCCCACGCGAGATGGAGTATTAGAGCATGTTGTTTTGGGCGACGCAGACCACCAGACAACTACAATCGGGGCGACCATTGATCCCGAAATTAAGAGTATGCTGATCAAACTGCTACGTAGTAACAAAGATCTCTTTGCCTGGAAACCATCCGACATGCCAGGTATAGACCTAGAAGTGTGCTGCCACCGATTGTCCATTGACCCCAAAGTGAAGCCCGTCGCGCAAAAGAAGAGGAAGTTTGGCCCTGATCGCCAGAAGATAATCGATGAGGAAGTAAAAAGGCTCCACGAAGCTGGCTTTATCAAAAAAGTCAAATACACAACCTGGTTCTCCAATCCTGTGTTGGTTAAGAAGCCCAGTGGGGCGTGGAGGATGTGCATCATTTATACCGACTTAAACAAAGTATGCCCCAAGGACGCTTATCCCTTTCCAAGCATTGATCAGCTAGTGGATAATGCGTCTGGTTTCAAGATACTCTTATTCATGGAAGCATACTCTGGTTACAACCAAATTCCATTGCTAAAAGAGGATCAAATCAAGACGGCGCTCATCACTCAGAATGCCCATTACTGTTATACTATGATGCCTTTAAGCCTGAAGAATGCGGGGGCCACGTACCAGCGAATGATGAATGAAGTATTCAAAGACTTGATTGGCGGCAGCGTGGAAGTCTACATTGATGATATGATCGCCAAATCACAAACACCAGAACAACACTTGATGCATCTTCAGGGCGTGTTTGATAGGCTGCACAAATACATCATGCGACTCAACCCGAGTAAGTGTGCCTTTGGGGTTCCGGCGGGAAAGTCTCTAGGCTTCATGCTAACTGAGAGAGGCATAGAGGTCAACCCTGATAAGTGAAAGGCGGTCATTGAAATGTGAAGCCCACAAATAGTCAAGGAGGTTCAGCAGTTGACTGGAAGAATGGTCGCCCTAACACGTTTTTTGGCGAATTCAGCACACAAATCAATCCCCCTGTTTCTTTTGGTCAAAAAAGGTACATCCTTTGAGTGGTCTGATGAGTGTGAAAGAGCGTTCCAGGAGTTCAAAAGGGCCATGTCCTGCCTGCCGGTTCTCACCAAACCAGATGATGGTGAAACTCTGTACTTATACCTTGTTGTCGGCAGTGAGGCCATCAGCACACTTCTGGGTCTATAACAGACGACGCCAAGGGGAAACTGCCCCACGCTGACACCACCAGTACAGAGGGCGCAGCGCTGCTACACCAGCAGCGCCTGCCACGCCCAACACTGCCACCAGTAGTGAATCCCAAGAAGGGTTGACCCCTCCTCACCAACCCGCATCAGGTGCACACCACCCTCCCTTATAAATAGCCCCTAGGGGCACACCGTGAAGGTATCTTATGTATCGTTATTATGCCCATTTGAATTAAGTCACAGACTCACACACCCTATACCATTCTTATTAACTTGCTTCATCCTTGGAACATTACCTCCTAGCCTGGTCTTTTCTTCAGCTAGGGGTATCAACCATACAGTGACATTATCCCGTAAGGGAACATAGTGGGCTTTTAGATTCCAACGATACATTGGCGCGGTCTGTGGGAAACTATAAACTTCTATTCCCATTCTCCTACCAAAGATTCGCAAGATGCATTTCACATCCTGATAATTAAAAATGGTTGTCACGACCAAAAGAGCAGAACAAGCTAGGGCCACAACCCCAGAGGGTTATGTACAAACAGTTCATCCCGACTCCTCGGCATCCATGCATTCAGCTCCAGCTGAGCGAGCCGTCGGCGAGGCCCTCCCCCCGGTACTGCAATCTGTTGGCCCACAGTTACCAATAGCTGGCGCTGGAGTATGACAGTTGAATCACCGCGTAGCAATGCGTGAAAAGCAAGGAGAAAATTGAGTCGCAAACCAACCCCCATTGCCGGAGTTCACTTTAGAATGTCATTCCCCGCTGTAGCACCACAAGCCGCACCACTCGCCCATCGTCCACAACCGGCCTGAAGTCAGCCAGTGGCGATCTACAATGATCATCGCCTTGCCATGATCGCCCCGTACCCCCTGGACCTTACACTCATAATGTTGCCAACGTTGCTACAACTTTCCCTCAACCTTACCCTGCTGGTTTCCCATTCCACGGTTACGCTATGCAACCCCATAACGTGGCCATCCCATAACCCCAATGGTCTTACCCAAACCCTGGTCAGCCACCATATGGCGCCCACCAAGCTTTACACCAGGTCCCAGCCCTCTCTTACTTTGTTGAAGCCCCACACATACCTCACCCACAACCCGACCAGCGTGCACATAACCCCAATATAAGGATAATGCTTGCTCATACGTCAGGACGCAACAAACCTTTGACTGATAGCTTGCGGTTAACCTCCATACCCCTTGCTTTCAAAGGCCCCTCTAACATCACCACTTATGTTGGTGATACCGATCCTATTGAGTGGGTCCAAAAGTTTGAAGCGGCAATGACCCTTCACGGCGAGACAGATCTCCTCATGTGCAGGACTTTCCCCACACTTCTGGGAGGGAGAGCGCTGACATGGTACACTACTCTACCATCTGGTAGTATTGCGTCCTGGGACGATTTGGCGAGCAAGTTTCAGTCTCCCTTCGCAACTAGTCGCCCGGTGCCTAAGTCTGTTCACTCCCTTGAAAAGATTCGCCAACAATCTGGAGAGTCCCTTAGATCTTTTTTGGACCGCATTGATAAAGAGGCTCTGGAAGTGCAAGGGTTGGACCCCAAGGTGCAAGTACACATACTTCTGTCTGGCTTGCGACAGGGAGCGTTCGCTTACGAACTCGCTCGCCTTGAAATCACTAACTTAGAAGAAGTCAGGAAAAAAGCGTAGGAGTTCATGAGAATTGAAGAGTACAAAGGGAGTCGAGTTGAGGACGCCCATAGCCAAGAGAGGACGGTCAGTAAGAGTAAGAACCAAGCTGATGAGAGCAGGAAGAGTCATAAATCGTCTAAGTATGCCAATCGTCCTTCAGGACGTGACACATCAGGACGCCCATCACACAGCGTCCTACAGACTGAATACAAAGAGGAGCCCAAGACCAACCAACGACCCCAGCAGCCGACCAGAGGAGCCGCCGCGTACTGCAAGTTCCACCGCAGCAACGTTAATAGTACTGAGGAATGCCGAGACCTTAAAGATGAGATTGACGAGCTCATCAAGGGTGGTGCTCAAAGGCGGGGAGGAGAAGGTGCACGCCCAACCAGAACTGGAAGGCGACAACGTGAGCGTAGCAGGTCACTAGAACAAAGGAGAAATAATCAGCCTGGTTATCAACCTCGCCATGAACGAGATCGCAGAGAAGACTCCCCACGAGACCGCAGAGTGCCGGTTAACCAAAGCAATAGAGGAAGACGAGAAGGAGAGGAAGAAGATTTAGCAGTCATCAAGCACGGGGTGATAAAGATGATTTCAGGATGCCTGAGCGGAGGTGGAGATACAGTCAACGCTAGAAAGAGACATTTGAAACAGTGTCTGGCAGTTGCTGGTAAAGTCATCAGCAAAGTAAAAGAAGATTCAGGTCTCGCCAAGCCTAAAATCGTGTGGGATTACAACGATTTGGGCGATGTCCTTCCTGGATATGATGACCCTCTAGTCATTCAAGCAATAATCGCCAATTTTGACGTAAAACGTGTATTTGTTGACCACGGCAGCTCTGCTGATATTTTATTTTAGCCATGTTTCAGGTCGTTAGGATTTTCAATGAATGACTTGACCCCCGTTGCAGGTGAACTTTCAGGTTTCAACGCAACAACCACAAAGCCGCTCGGAATGATAAACCTGCGTTTGTCTTTGGGGACGCCACCCACATCAAGATAAGCTGACATCCAGTTCCTGGTGCTCGACACCCAATCAGCTGATAATGTAATTCTCCACAGAAGGATGTTCGCCGCGTTTGAAGGAAGCATATCGCACCCGCACTTGGCAATAAAGTTCGTGGTGAGGGACAACAAGGTGGCGACGGTAAAAGGCGACCAAACGGTAGCCAGGAGTTGCTACAATATATCTTTGAAACCAACACCTAAGGTCACCTTCAAAGACCAACCAACGCCTCAAGTGAGAACTGTTAGTATTTGGGTGTCCTAGAGACAATCTTATGATTAAATAAGGACAGAGATGTAGACCTTTTTAATATTGTCGCAAATAAATAAAAGAACTCTTTATCTTGTTTCATAATTATGTCTCGATATTAATATTAATATATTATGAATAACTTGATAAACCCCGTGGAATAAAATAGGTATCTCTTGAGTATCTGTGATGAGATCACAATCACGAGGATTCAAGAATACCGGATGTTCATTCGTAATTTTATGTTCCTAGTCTAGAGATACTGAGAATGGGGTCAGTAATCTCGGGTAAGACTAGCACGACTTATCTATTTGTATATGGATACAAGGTATAGACCTCATGTGCTACAGATATGGAGATGTCTTAGCTAAAGTCGTGGGTGGACCTATAAAGGTATAGCTCGCACTGAACGGACCCACAAAGAGACTCTATGAGGAACTCTCACAGAGAGTATCATTAGAGTAGTCTCTTTATATTTGGGTATGTCTTTCCTAAGACCAGAAGTTATTACCTAGACTGTGTTCTAGAAGGCATGCTTTGATTGTGCACCTCGTCTGCCTGAAACATGGAGACTCATAGGTATACTATTGGGCTTGTCCTGAAAGAACACAGGGCTAGGGTGATAAGCTGAAGGAATTCGTCAAATCTCTGTGAGAGATTAGGTTATCTGTAAACCGGAGAAATCGGGATGACATTTACAGGGACTCGGGAATCTATGCATAGTAAAAGAGATCATGAGATGATCTGTCTTTAGAGTCTGTAAATTGAAGATTCCCTAATTTCGAATAAAGCTTACCCTAAACCGCAGGGGTTGATACGCTTCCTTACCCTAGGTTTTATGGGAAGGTAACCGAGACGAAAGGAAATATGTACGGCAACCAAATATGTTTAATAGGATGATCAAATCATTAATCTAACTAGTTCTGGGGCAACAAAGCATTGCTAGTGCTCTGTGTTGTCATTAGATGGGTTGTGGGCTTATTGGGCCCAAGCCCATTTATGTCAGTGGCTAAGTTAGACCTAATGGGTCACACACAAACACCTAATTGTCTAGATGCTCTAGCATTAAAGGTATTGGGCCTAATAATAGTTATTAGCCCAAGAAGTTGTTTGGAACTCCACCTAAAGGGGCGGAGGGCGCATGGTTCATTGTAATGGGCTTGGATAGTCCAAGACATTACTAATTAATTTAATTAGTTAAATTAATTATCAAACATTTAAATTTTGAATTTTGTAATTCGAAATTTGAATTTTGAAATTTTGAATTTTAAATTTGAATTTCGAAATTCGAATTTTGAATTTGAAATTTGAAATTTGAAATTTGAATTTTGAAATTTGGATTTTGAAATTTGAAAATTTGAATTTTGAATTTGAATTTTGAATTTGAATGTTTGAACATTTGAATTTGAATATTTGAATGTTTGAATTCAAATATTTGAATTTGAATTTGAATTTCCTATGAAAGGTTGTTTCATAACAAAAGGATAAGATGAGATCTTGTTGGAACAAATCACTAGTATCATGGGAGAATCTTTTGGACAAGATCCAAGGCCATATATGGCGCTGATTTGGGTTGTTGGTGAGCAAGATTTGCTCATCAAAATCAGCTCCAGAAGATTCAGTCAGTTGGGAGAAAATCTGAGTGAGTTGATTCAAATTTGAATGCAACTACTCAGATGTATCTGGTCACCTTTTTGGGCTATATGGGGCGCACCATATAGCTGATCTTATGAAGATTTCTGATCAGAATTTTGAATAGGTTTTGAACCAATTCTCAAGATTCTAGGAGCCTGTTAGCAATTTTTGAAATAAAACAGCTCCACTTCTCTCTCTCCTATCTAGCGCCTAATGATCAGATTTTTAGGAGAAAAATCTGATTGGTATTTTATTTTAAATACTCTCCTCTTATGTGCCTAAGGGTTTAGTTGTTCCTCCAAGGGTTTTTCTGAAAACCTAGCCTATTATTTCCTCTCTCTTGCGCCACTTGTGAAGCTTTCACATTGAGAGCTTCACTTTTTCAAACACTTTCACCTAGCCTCCATCTTCACACATAGAGCGCCTAGCAAGCCTCTTTGTGGTGATCATACGGTGGCTTCACAAGAAGGAGTTCTTGCACCTAGACGAGTGGGTGGTGTGGATCAATGTTAGACGGTCTGAACCCTTCAGACCGGCCTTGATCATCTGGTGATTTCACGAACAAGGTAACATCATGCTTTACTAAAGCATGATCTTGATGTGCATGTATATTCCGCAAAGAAAAATTTTGTTTTCCCCTCTTGCATGCATCGGCCTTCAAGGCCATTTCGAACTTTCAAGAACGCCACAGGTAATAGAGGAAAAAGCTAGCAGAAATAACAAAGAACTTGATAATTGTTTTCTTGTAGAATTCGACGCTAGAGATGACCCTCGAGCGGAACATTCGAGGCCCACGCCAGATGGAGTCTTAGAGCATGTTGTTTTGGGCGACGCAGACCACCAGACAACGACAATCGGGGCGACTATTGATTCCGAAATTAAGAGTAGGCTGATCAAACTGCTACGTAGTAACAGAGATCTCTTTGCCTGGAAACCGTCCGACATGCCAGGTATAGACCCAGAAGTGTGCTGCCACCGATTGTCCATTGACCCCAAAGCGAAGCCCGTCGCGCAAAAGAAGAGGAAGTTTGGCCCAGATCGCCAGAAGATAATCGACGAGGAAGTGAAAAGGCTCCACGAAGCTGGCTTTATCAAAAAATTCAAATACACAACCTGGATCTCCAATCCTGTGTTGGTTAAGAAGCCCAGTGGGGCGTGGAGGATGTGCGTCGATTATACCTACTTAAACAAAGTATGCCCCAAGGACCCTTATCCCTTTCCAAGCATTGATCAGCTAGTGGATAATGCGTCTGGTTTCAAGATACTCTCATTCATGGATGCATACTCTGGTTACAACCAAATTCCATTGCTAGAAGAGGATCAAATCAAGACGGCGTTAATCACTCAGAATGCCAATTACTGTTATACTATGATGCCTTTTGGCCTGAAGAACGCGGGCGCTACGTACCAGCGAATGATTAATGAAGTATTCAAAGACTTGATTGGCGGCAGCGTGGAAATCTACATTGATGATATGATCGCCAAATCACAAACACCAGAGCAACACTTGATGCATCTTCAGGGCGTGTTCGATAGGCTGCGCAAATACAACATGCGACTCAACCCGAGTAAGTGTGCCTTTGGCGTTCCGGCGGGAAAGTCTCTAGGCTTCATGCTAACTGAGAGAGGCATGGAGGTCAACCTTGATAAGTGCAAGGCGGTCATTGAAATGTGAAGCCCACAAAAAGTCAAGGAGGTTCAACAGCTGACTGGAAGACTGGTCGCCCTAACACGTTTTTTGGCGAATTCAGCACACAAATCACTCCCCTTGTTTGGTTTGCTCAAAAGAGGTACATCTTTTGCATGGTCTGATGAGTGTGAAAGAGCTTTCCAGAAGTTCAAAAGGGCCCTGTCCTTCCTGCCGGTTCTAACCAAACCAGATGATGGTGAAACTCTGTACTTATACCTTGTTGTCGGCACTGAGGCCATCAGCACACTTCTGGGTCTATAACAGACGGGGCCAAGGGGAAACTGCCCCACGCTGACACCACCAGGTACAGAGGGCACAGCGCTGCTACAAAAGCAGCACCTGCCACGCCCAACACTGCCACCAGTAGTGAATCCCAAGGAGGGTTGACCCCCTCCTCACCAACCTGCATCAGGTGCAAACCACCCTCCCTTATAAATAGCCCTGGGGGCACACCGTGAAGGTATCTTATGTATCGTTATTATGCCCATTTGAATTAAGACACAGACTCACCCACCTCATACCATTGTTATTAACTTGCTTCATCCTTGGAATATTACCTCCTAGCCTGGTCTTTAATTCAGCTAGGGGTATCATCCATATAGTTACATTATCCCATAAGGGAACATAGTGAGCTTATAGATTCCAACGGTACATTGGAGCCGTCTGTGGGAAACTATAAACTTCTATTCTCATTCTCCTACCAAAGATCTGCAAGACGCATTTCACATCCCGATGACTCAAAATGGTTGTCACGACCAGAAGAGCATAACAAGCTAGGGCCACAATCCCAGAGGGTTATGTACAAACAGTTCATCCCGACTCCCAGCCACCCATGCATTCAGCTCCAGCTGAGCGAGCCGTCGGCGAGGCCCTCCCCCCGGTACTGCAATCTTTTGGCCCACAATTACAAACAGCTGGCGCTGGAGTAGAACAGTTGAATCACCGCGTAGCAATGCGTGAAATGCAAGGAGAAAATTTAGTCCCAAACCAACCCTCACCGCCGGGAGTTCACTTCAGAATGCCATTCCCCGCTGCTACATCGCAAGCCACACCACTCGCCCATCGTCCACAACCGGACTGAAGTCAGCTAGTGGCGATGTACAATTATCTTCGACTTGCCATGATCGCCCTGTACCCTCCAGGACCTTACACTCATAATGTTGCCAACGTTGCTACAGCTTTCCCTCAACCTTACCCTACTTGTTTCCCATTCCACGGTTACGCTATGCAACCCCATAACGTGGCCATCCCACAACCCCAAGGGTCTTACCCAAACCCTGGTCAGCCACCATATGGCGCCCACCAAGCTTTACACCAGGTCCCAGCCCTCTCTTACTCTGTTGAAGCCCCACACATACCTCACCCACAACCCAACCCGCGTGCACATAACCCCAATATAAGGATAACTCCTGCTCATACGTCAGGACGCAAAAAACCTTTGACTGATAGCTTGCGGTTAACCCCTATACCCCTCGGTTTCAAAGGCCCCTCTAACATCACCACTTATGTTGGTGATACCGATCCTTTTGAGTGGGTCAAAAATTTTGAAGCGGCAACGACCTTTCACGGCGAGACGGATCTCCTCATGTGCAGGACTTTCCCCACACTTCAGTCTCACTTCGCAATCAGTCGCCTGGTGCCTAAGTCCGTTCACTCCCTTAAAAAGATTCGCCAACAATCTGGAGAGTCCCTTAGATCTTTTTTGGATCGCTTTTATAAAGAGGCTCTGCAAGTGCAAGGTTTGGACCCCAAGGTGCAAGTACACATACTTCTGTCAGGCTTGCGACAGGGAGCGTTCGCTTACGAACTCGCTCGCCATGAAATCACTGACTTAGAAGAAGTCAGGAAGCCCAAGTGTTCATGAGAATTGAAAAGTACAAAAGGAGTCGAGTTGAGGACGCCCATAGCCAAGAGAGGACGTTCAGTAAGAGTAAGAACCAAGCTGAAGAGAGTAGGAAGAGTCATAAATCGTCTAAGTATGCCAGTCGTCCTTCAGGACGTGACACATCAGGACGCCCATCACACAGCGTCCTGCAGACTGAATACAAAGAGGAGCCTGAATACAAAGAGGAGCCCAAGACCAACCAACGGCCCCAGCAGCTGACCAGAGAAGTCGCCGCGTACAACAAGTTCCACCACAGCAACGGTCATAGTACTGAGGAATGCCGACACCTTAAAGTCGAGATTGACGAGCTCATCAAGGGCGGTGCTCAAAGGCAGGGAGGAGAAGGTGCACGCCCAGCCAGAACTGGAAGGCGACAACGTGAGCGTAGCAGGTCACCAGAAAAAAGGAGAAACAATCAGCCTGGTTATCAACCTCGTCATGAACGAGATCGCGGAGAAGACTCCCCACGAGACCGCAGAGTGTCGGTTAACCAAAGCAATAGAGGAAGACGAGAAGGAGAGGAAGACGAGAAGGAGAGGAAGAAGATTCAGCAGTCATCAAGCACGGGGTGATAAACATGATTTTACGAGGCCTGAGCAGAGGTGGAGAAACAGTCAACGCTAGAAAGAGACATTTGAAACAGTGTCTGGCAGTTGCTGGTAAAGTCATCAGCAAAGTAAAAGTAGATTCAGGTCCCGCCAAGCCTAAAATCGTGTGGGATTACAACGATTTCGGTGATGTCCTTCCTGGACATGATGACCCTCTAGTCATTCAAGCAATAATCGCCAATTTTGACGTAAATCGCGTATTTGTTGACCACGGCAGCTCTGCTGATATCTTATTTTTTTCCATGTTTCAGGGCGTTAGGATTTTCAATGAATGACTTAACCCCCATTGCAGGTAAACTTTCAGGTTTCAACACAACAACCACTAAGCCGCTCGGAATGAAACCAGCACCTAAGGTCACCTTCAAAGACCAACCAACGCCTCAAGTGAGAACGCCACAGGTAATAGAGAAAAATGCTAGCAGAAATAACAAAGAACTTGATCAATGTTTTCTTGAAGAGGATGATGTTAGGCGTGACATGCCACGACCCGTTGATGAGACGGAACATTCCAGCGAATGAGGGCGGCGCCAGATGGGCGTATGAGAGCTTGTTGTTTTGGGAAGGCGCGACCAACAGGTCTGCGAAGCTACTAATGAGAATGTCACCTGACGATCGTCAACCTTGATTTGTAATTTTAGATATAAGTGTTGCGCGGTTGGTGTGTCAACTGGTAGCTTTTCTTTTCTTTTTGTCGTGGTTGGTATGTCAACTGCGGATCTCTTTAATCATCAATCAATTTTGTTTTCCTTACTTGGCGCTTTCCTAAAGGAATTAGTACCCTTATATTAGTTGGGCGTTGTGTGGGAGTGCTGTCCCATTAGTTTGGCATTGGCTGGGGGTGAGACCCCAACGTTTGGCGAAGCCCGTCGCGCAACTTATTAAGAACCGTTCCAGGAACATTTGGCGGGGGTGAGTACCATCCCGTTAGTTGGGCGTTGGCTGGGGGCCAGAAGATAATCGACGAGGGAAGTACCATCCCGTTAAAACTGGCTAGTCCAACTGCGGCGGGGGTGAGAACCATCCCGCTAGTTGGACGTTTGCTGGGGGTGAGAACCGTCCCAGTACCACGTTTGGCGGGGGTGAGAACTGTCCCGCAACTTGGTGCTAGCTAGGGGTGATAACCGTCCCAGTCCATCGCTCGGCGGGGGTGAGAACCATCCCGCTAGTTGGGCGTTGGCTGGGGGTGAAAACCATCCCAGTCCAATTGCGGCGGGGGTGAGAACCATCCCGCTAGTTGGGCGTTGGCTGGGGGTGAGAACCATCCCAGTCCAACTGCGGCGGGGGTGAGAACCATCCCGCTAGTTGGGCGTTTGCTGGGGGTGAGAACCATCCCAGTCCAACTGCGGCGGGGGTGAGAACCATCCCGCTAGTTGAGCGTTTGCTGGGGGTGAAAATCGTCTCAGTCCAACGTTTGGAGAGGGTGAGTACCGCCCGGTAACTTCATTATATGGAGAGTGTGGAAGATTGGAACAAGTCTTAATGCAATTTATTGATTAAGAAGTAAACGAACTGCCTCATTAAAAACCTTTCCAGGCAAAAACCCAGTGGGATAAAAGGCTGGAAAGGAAAAGAGTGCAGTGTACGGGTTACATTGGACGATATAGCTATAGTATCGTCTGAGCTTGTCAGCGTTCCACGCCCTGGGTATGACTTTCCCCTTGAGTGTCTCCAAGGCATAGGCTCCTCCTCCTAGCTTGTTGGCGATTCGATAAGGTCCTTCCCAATTTGGGGCGAGCTTACCCTCGCGGGGTTCTTCTTTCCAATATCCGCTCGTCTAAGGACTAAGTCTTTTACTTCAAATTTCCTCTTGACTACTTTTTGGTTGTACCGAGCAGCTACCCTTTCCTTTGATTGGCGCTCAGATTGGGCTGCTCGTTCTCGAAATTCATCAAGAAGATCTAAAGCCTCGTTGAGATTTTGACTGTTGGCCACTTCAGACACATAATCTTTCCTCTAAGAGGGTTCTTCGATCTCGACAGGAATCATTGCCTCCGTGCCGTAGGTCAATCTAAAAGGGGTTTCCCCCGTACTAGATTGTGCAGTTATCCGATATCCCACAAGACGCTCTCAAGGTTTTCCACCCACGCCCCCTTTTGAGACTCTAGCTTATTCTTGATTCCCTTTGCTAACATTTTGTTAGCAGACTCCACTAGCCCGTTGGATTGTGGGTGCTCCACTGCGGCGAAGTGGTGTCGAATGTGTAGGTCCTTCATCAGCTCCTAGAACTTGGCGTCTGTGAATTGAGCGCCGTTATCAGTTATAACTTCTCCTGGGATGCAAAATCGGTAAATGATATTTCTCCAGAAGAATTTCCTGACCCTTTGGGAGCTAATGGTAGCAGCCGGCTCTGCCTCCACCCATTTGGTGAAATAATCAATGGCGACGACCAGCCATTGGACTCGGCCTGCTGCCACGGGGAAAGGGCCCAGGATGTCCATCCCCCACTTGTAAAAGGGCCAAGGGGATGAGATCACAGTTAGTTCTTCTGGCAGGGCTATGTGTATATCAGCAAACCTTTGGTATTTATCACATGTCTTTACGTGCACGTGGGCGTCTCGCTCCATGGTCGGCCAATAATAACCTGCACGGAGCGTTTTCTTTGCTAGCGAATGGCCGCCCAAGTGGTGGCCGTTAATTCCTTCGTGGATCTCCTCCAGAATGTATGCTACGTCACAGGGGTTCAAGCACTTCAGGAGTGGGGTTGAGCAACCCCTTTTGTATACCCGCCCTTGCACCATACAAAAGTGAGCACACTTTCGCACTATCTTCTTGGCTTCCTTTGGGTCCGCTGGGAGGGTACCTTCCGATAAATAGTATTTGCACGTGTGTTTTCTGACCGCCTGATATGCTCGAATTCGATCGTCTCGAAAATCAACATGAGTTCTTTTACTTTCTCCAAGTATTTGCACATCAGAGGCCCTTTAGCTTGATATTCTCTGGAAATATGGAAAGTCACGAACTGAGAATTGCTGAATACCTTGAGGTGCTGAACTCCCAACTCTTTTGCTTGAAGGAGGCCAGCAATCATGGCTTCATACTCAGCCTAATTGTTAATGGTACTAAAGTTGAAGGATAACGAGTGCTCCATCGCCACACCAGCTGGGGTTGGTGGAACCGTCCACATACAGCTTCCATGACGCCGACTGTGGGGTTTCAAGACTAGACCCTACGACCTGGCAGGCGGTTGTGCTGGATTGTGTCATTTCAGCAATGAAATATGTGAGAGCTTGAGCTTTGATGGCGGTTCTTGGCTCATAATTGATATGGTATTCAGAGAGCTTAATCGCCCAGGACATCATCCTTCCGGCGAGGTCGGGTTTGTGCAAGACTTGACGGATAGGTTGATTAGTTCTGACTGTGATGGGGTGGCATTGGAAGTATGGCCTTAGCCTTCGTGCCACAAAGATGAGTGTAGGGCGACTTTTTCAACTTGCTGATACCGCAGCTCAGCCCCTTGCAACATTTTTCTAATGAGGTATACCGGCTTTTGGCCTTCTTCTTTTAGCTCTCTAACCAACGTCGCGCTGATGGCCTTAGTGCCGACAACAAGGTATAAGTACAGAGTTTCACCATCATCTGGTTTGGTGAGAACCGGCGGGCAGGACAGGGCCCTTTTGAACTCCTGGAAAGCTCTTTCACACTCATCAGACCATGCAAAGGATGTACCTTTTTTGAGCAAACCAAACAGGGAGAGTGATTTGTGTGCTGAATTCGCCAAAAAACGTGTTAGGGCAACCAGTCTTCCAATCAGCCGCTGAACCTCCTTGACTGTTTGTGGCCTTCGCATTTCAATGACCGCCTTGCACTTATCAGGGTTGACCTCTATGCCTCTCTCAGTTAGCATGAAGCCTAGAAACTTTCCCGCCGGAACGCCAAAGGCACACTTACTCGGGTTGAGTCGCATGTTGTATTTGCGCAGCCTATCGAACACGCCCTGAAGATGCATCAAGTGTTGTTCTGGTGTTTGTGATTTGGCGATCATATCATCAATGTAGACTTCCACGTTGCCGCCAATCAAGTCTTTGAATACTTCATTCATCATTCGCTGGTACGTGGTGCCCGCGTTCTTCAGGCCAAAAGGCATTATAGTATAACAGTAATTGGCATTCTGAGTGATGAACGCCGTCTTGATTTGATCCTCTTCTAGCAATGGAATTTGGTTGTAACCAGAGTATGCATCCATGAATGAGAGTATCTTGAAACCAGACGCATTATCCACTAGCCGATCAATGCTTGGAAAGGGATAATCGTCCTTGGGGCATACTTTGTTTAAGTCGGTATAATCGACGCACATCCTCCACGCCCCACTGGGCTTCTTAACCAACACAGGATTGGAGAGCCAGGTTGTGTATTTGACTTTTTTGATAAAGCCAGCTTCGTGGAGCCTTTTTACTTCCTCGTCGATTATCTTCTGGCGATCAGGGCCAAACTTCCTCTTCTTTTGCGCGACGGGCTTCGCTTTGGGGTCAATGGACAATCGGTGGCAGCACACTTTTGGGTCTATACCTGGCATGTCGGACGGTTTCCAGGCAAAGAGATCTTTGTTACTACGTAGCAGTTTGATCAGCCTACTCTTAATTTCGGGATCAATGGTCGCCTCGATTGTAGTTGTCTGATGGTCTGCGTCATCCTGTTCCGGATGGCCCAATAAGGCTCTGGCCCAAAGGTCAGTGCCCAACCTCCACCTAGCATCCACGTCAGTATAGGTATACACATACCTGCTCAGTTTCTTGCTTTGGGGTTCTCTCACTGATTCAATGACCCATTGGAACTGTTCAATGATGACCTATACTTGCTCCTTCACATGATTTGATTCATGCCATGTGTACTGTTGGTATGAGGTGTGTGAGTCTGCGACTTAATTCAAATGGGTATAATAACGATACATAAGATACCTGCACGGTGTGCCCCCAGGGGCTATTTATAAGGGAGGGTGGTGTGCACCTGATGCGGGTTGGTGAGGA